CTCTAAAAATTTGACATCCTGAGTTTCCAGCCTGCAAAACTAGTTGAATTATCTATTTAACATTTGTTTTGTTGTCAGACCCTGTTTTAACTTCTCTATAGTCAGGCAGATTACCTTAAATTGTCTTTTTACTGGGAAAGAAAATGCATCTTTAATGAACTAGAATTTGTCTTCTGAAACTGCATTCTTCTCAGCTTTATATAAACTATGCCTCAACTTGTCTGTTTACTAGTAACTGTACACAAACAGTTCTTTTGAATGTAGCTGTGAACTAGAAATAGTAGTATGTTTTGTAGATAAATACCTAGCTTAAGTTAAAAACCCAATAATACTCCTTAGACAGGGTGGCAGTTTTTGAGAGAATTCTCTCTGCTGTCCCAGATCTGCAATAAAGTGCTTTGGATATTGCAAAACAAAACAAACCAACAAAAAACCAGTGATACATGAGGACAGAGGCTAGTTCAGCTGGAAATTCAAGCACAGAGGTATACTTTCTTGGAACAATCACTGTAATTCAGATGATTCATTAGATAAGTTTATTTTCCTTCTCTCTCTCTCTCTCTCTGTTAGTGAGGAATTGTTGCTATTAAGTTATTGAGTTGTAAGTAGGACTCATAGCCATGAACATGAACAACAGATCTGAATTGTCCTATCCTGAGCCATCCTCACCATCCTTATATACATTTGAGTCCATTGCTGCGAACACTACATGAATCCATCTCCTTGAGGGCTTTCCTTGCCTTCAATGATCCTCCACATTTCCAAGCATGATGTACAAGAAATAAAATTTGGTACCACTACCTAGGTTTGTGTTCCATCTCTAAAGTTACTCAGCTCCCTTCGCCCCTTCCTCCCTTTCTTTTGAACTATCAGTGTAAATGTGAATACAGTGAAAAAGACATTAGGGAAGTAAAATATTATGGAACAGCTTATTATTAAAATTGTTTAGCTTCATGAACTTCTTGAAAGATCTTGATATCCTATGAGTCCACCAATCTCTCTTGAAAAGATTGGGTTTTTGATAAACATGTGGGAAAAAATAGTGCTGCCTTCTGCTTTTTTTGCAAAGGTGAAACAAAAGGCATCTCGGATTTCAGACTAAGGTTAAAAGTTTAAGAGTTGCTATTTCCCCTTTTCTGGCACTTGCATTCCGTAATCAAAAATGCCTTCCTCAGCATCACCCTTATTTCTAATGTCAGACATATGACAAGAGTCTTGACAACCCAACCACAGAGAATAAATTCATTCCTCCTTCCTAGCGCTCTCAGCAATATAGTCAAAGGTGACATTTGTTTCCAAAAAAATTGATTGTTCAAGAACAGGTCTTATTTAATGCTTTGAAGTGTTCCCTGTGCATCTAAAGGCAAGTCTGTAAATTAATCCAGCTCCTGTCTTTAGTTTGTTAGGTAGTACTGGTTTCCCTTAAATCATCCAGCAGGATAGTTTCATTTTAAAAGTTAATAGTTTTCATCTATCTCATTTCTTAGATTTTCATGCAGTCACACATGATCATCTGAGTCTGGAGTTGCTTTCATTACCTCTTTCCTAAAATATTAATACAGTTTGTTTGTTAGGCTCATGTGTTTTCCCAATTGTAGTCCAGGAAGCTATAAAAATAATGGAAATCATTTCAATAATTCATGTGGTTTTTGCATTATGGCTTATATGATCTTTATAGAGTGATGATCAAGAATGGATAATTTTACAGAAGAAAAGCAAAACATACTGACTTAGAAGCAAGTGGAAAATTTTAAGAAAAACAAGCTGGCTTTATTAGGTGCTTACTAGAGAAGAAAAGATTAAACTAATAGATAGAAGAACCTTGAAAATTAAGTGTCGATAATTATTGCCCCTAGGATTTAAGAAAAGGAAATAGAGTTACAGATTTTTTAATAATTATCAAAGAATTTCAAGTTTACAGAAAAGTAAAAAGAATAATATAACAAATACTTAGTGTTCACCACATCTTTAAGCAGTTGCTAGTATTATCTGGCTACTTTTTTTTAATTGAAGCATATGTCATCTTGCAATTCAATAATGAGTTTATATCTCTAAAATATAAAGATTTACAAATGTAAATCCAGTGATGATGGAAAATCTAAAAACCCTCGAGGACTTGCTGGAAAGTCTTTGTTTTACCAACGTGAGTTCAACGCCCTTAAACAGATTCTAACAAAATAGCTTGGGGAGGATGAAGAAGAGTAGGAGGTAGAACACTGAGCTGAGAGCAAGAGCTTAGCAGAAGGACAAAAATACCCAGTGGACAAGTCTGATTTAATTTTGCTCTTAAGTGTTCAATTTAACCATTATTCTCAACCACCCCATGATGTCTTAATTTTAACTTGCATTGCTCATTAATAATTTAGATGTCAAATTGTTCTTTCGATGCAAATCTAACCTCAGGATGTATGAGGCTTGAAAACCAAGGCTGCTCAAGTATGTCCACTGAGGTTATATAATTCACTTGGAAGGGTTAGGAATCTGCTTTAAATCATTTTACTTCATCAGTAACAGCATGTCCAATTGAAAAAGAAATATATCTTCTGTAGAAAAAAAATTACATTGAAGCAATCCCATTTGTCTTCACTTTTGCAATGTCTTTCTATGTGTAGGTCTTGGATGTGGTTTATTGTACACTGCAACAGTGACCATTACGTGCCAGTATTTTGACAGCCGTCGAGGCCTTGCACTTGGCCTGATTTCAACAGGTATCTATTAAAATTAAGTACAATCTAATCACTATTTAAGAAACATAGTTTATATCCACTAGCTGCTCTGTGGATAAAAATGGGTAAACCCTTCCTGAGCAATATACTGCTCCGAAAACCTGCTGGAGGGTCAGCTATGAGTCAGTTCTACTGGACAGTATATAACAACAATCATTACCATTTAGAGGCCCCCAAAACCCAGAGATGTTAACTTACTGTTCCATAGCTACCACTTGAGTTGAATTTTTTAATTGAAATTTTAATGAAAAATTATAGAGAACTTGGATTACCATTTTCCTCCCTGCCCACTCCTCTCCCATGTGTTTTTCTCTTTGGGAAGAAAAAAAAATTCTTTCATAGTTACACAGTTCCTGCCCCCCCCAGTCCACTTTACTATGTAGCTCTTGCCATTCAAATAAAATCTAATCATATATTCCTTTTAAACAATTCTCTTACTCATCTGTTACAATGTAGTACATTATTTATACCCTCATTTCTTAGTTTCTCCCCAAACCCAATTTTACTCCAGTTTTATAACAGTGGCATTATGCAGTATTTGTCCTTTTGTGATTGAGATATTTCACTCAGTTTCCATGTGAAGTTCTATATAGTTTTGTTGGGTTTTTTTTAAAAGAAATTTTTATGTTTACACTTAAATTTTTTAATATTTCATTTTATTTTTATCATTTTTTGCTTTTTCTCTCTCAATTTTTTATTATTAATTTTAATGAAAATTTACAGAGACTTTGGATTTCTATTCACTCATTGTTAAACTCCCCGCCCACCTCTCCCCACCCCAGTTCACTCTTCTCTTTGGAAAAGTAAGAGAAAAATTCTTTCATTGTTTTACAATTCCTCCCTCTAGGTCCATTCCGCTATGCAGCCTTCATTCTGGACTCCTGTCATGACAATAATACCTAATCACATATCCCTCTTAAATATTTTTCTCCCTCATTTGGTTCAATGCATTATACATTATTTATCCCATCCTTCTTAGTCTCCTCTCGACCCTGTTGTCAGTCCTGTTTTACAACAGTGGCCCTATGCAGTATTTGTCCTTTTGTGTCTGAGATATTTCACTCAGCATAATGTCCTCCACGGTTACCCATTTTGAATAATAATTCATGAGTTCAAGCACATGAATAAATGTTCAAAATCCCTAGCTCTAAGAGCGATGCAAATATTAACAGCTATGAGATATCATCTCACCCCAGTAACAATTGCAAAATTTAACAGAACAGCAAGCAGCAAATGTTGGTGAGGTTGTGGAGAAACTGGAACCCTTATTCACTGTTGGTGGAAGTGTAAAATGGTGCATCCACTGTGTAAAGCGGTGTGAAGCTTTCTCAAAAAATAGCAAATAGAGATACCATTTGACCCAGTAATTCCACTACTGGGAATATAGCCCAAAGAGACTGTAACTGACATCCAAGTAGATATATGCACACCCAAGTTTATTGTGGCTTTGTTCACAGTAGCAAGGAGATGTAAACAACCTAAGTGCCCATCAACAAACAAACAGAGAAGCTGTGGCATATTCATTCACACAATGGAATACTACGCTGCATTGAAAAACAAGGAACTCATGGAATATTACTGAAATTTTTTTATTTTAATGAAAGTGTATAGAGACTTGGATTTCCATTCATTCATTGTTGCATGCTTTCCTCCCTGCCCCCCTATTGTTCACTTTACACTTTGAAAAGTAAAAAAAAATAAATAAAAAATTAAAATTCGTTCATTGTTATACACCCCACCCCCCAGTCCACTCCACTGTGCAGCTTTCATTCTGGACTCTTGTCATGACAATAAAGCCTAATCATGTATTCCTCCTAAGTTGAATTTTTTTTAACCTTACTTCTGGAAAGAATCTTCTTTTCCATTGTAAATATAGGATTAAAGAAAAAAAAGTATAGCTTAAAGAAAAACCCAAGATATATGTGTGAAAAACCCAAGGTACTAGAGAGGTTCTGGGCCTAATAAATGCTTATGAGGGCTCCGCTCGAAGAGCGTGCATTTGTGAAAGGCCCTTGAGTGGCATGGAAGGAAAAGGGAGCTCCTGAAACCCTCCCCCAAAAGATTCATGCTGACCGCCTCTCTCCTAGTTTATTGTCAAAGTTATCATTTTCCAAAATAAGAAATAAGATATTTAATTTATAATTATGCTTCTATATAATCACTTAATAACAACTGCATAATATTATTATAGCAGTATATTAATGCTGTTATAGAATTACTATGTGAGAGCATGCAATTAAATGTTAGAATGTGTAATTTATTTTATAATTTATATAAATTATAATGAAAAAAATTTTTATGAATAAATCTCACGGACCTCCATATACATCCAAATGGCAGGGTGTTTGTTTGCTCTTAATAATCAAGAGATGATCACTGAAGGTTTCAGCTACTCACCAAAAGGTTGGTGGTTCAAATCTAGTAGCTACTTTGCAAGGAAAAGATATGTGCAAGTTGCTGTTTATAAAGATACCTGGGAAGACCTCTTGGGTGGTTCCGCTCTTTCCAATAAGATCAGTTTAGGTCAGAAATTACTTGATGGCAGTGGGTGGGATAGGCTTGGTTTTGGCAAGCCTCTTCATATTTTAAGGTGATGTTTGACTTTTCAGATTTTTTTTTTAAGCTCTTTAGGGAATTTATCAAGAACTGTGGTTTGAAATGTTATGAGTTATTTAGAAGAAATTAGCTGTGAAATTTCAAAATGTTATAAAGTCATATTTGTGTGTTGTTAATGGGCTGATATTCTTGGGAAGTCAGGTGTTTAACTACAAGCTACCCAATAGGGTCACCATGAGGTTAAAACAAGATGATGCAAATTTAAAGAACATAGGACAGTGTCTGACAAAGAAATACAAACCTTACATTATTCTAAAAGTATTACATCATCATCATTATTATTATCATAATCATCAATATTTTTCCTGACCTATTAATAGAAGATATATAGCTATAGTTGTAGATATATAAATAGATTAAATAGATATAGATATATGTCAATGTTAGTGTAAAAAAGCCGTTGGGTTTGGGACTGTGAATGCTTGTCTTAACTGTCTCAACGATTGAACAGGCCCTTTCCTTCTTAGGTTCAAGTGTCGGACTTTTTATATATGCTGCTCTGCAAAAGATGCTGATTGAATTCTATGGACTGGATGGATGCCTGCTTATTGTGGGTGCTTTAGCTTTAAACATATTAGCTTGTGGCAGTCTGATGAGACCCCTCCAGTCCTCTGATGGTGCTCTGCCTGCCAAACCAGCTGTGGAAAATGTTCCGGAGAGATACTGCATTTACAAGGAAAAAGACAAGAGCCTGGAGGAAAATATAAATATTCTTGAGAAGAGCTGCCCGCATGAGGACAAACACAAGAGCTCTTTCATCAGTGGAGACTGGAGATCGGAGGGCCCACTTCCTAAAAGCCCAACAATAATGGCGCCCGCAAAAGAGACTGACACGTACAAAAAGAAAGTTGCAGAACAGACATATTTTTGCAAACAGCTTGCCAAGAGGAAATGGCAACTATATAGAAACTACTGGGGAGAAACGGTGGCTCTTTTTAAAAATAAAGTCTTTTCAGCACTTTTTATTGCCATCTTACTTTTTGACATTGGAGGGTTTCCACCTTCATTACTCATGGAAGATGTAGCTAGAAGTTCAAATGTGAAAGAAGAAGACTTTATTATGCCTCTTATTTCCATTATAGGCATTATGACAGCAGTTGGTAAACTCCTTTTAGGAATATTGGCTGACTTCAAGTGGATTAATACATTATATCTTTATGTTGCTACCTTAATAATCATGGGCCTGACCTTGTGTGCAATTCCATTTGCCAAAAGTTATGTCATGTTGGCAATACTTTCCGGGATCTTGGGGTTTCTTACAGGTAATTGGTCCATTTTCCCATACGTGACTACCAAGACTGTAGGAATTGAAAAATTAGCCCATGCATATGGAATATTAATGTTCTTTGCTGGACTTGGAAATAGCCTTGGACCTCCAATTGTTGGTAAGACAATTCATCTTCAAGTCAGCCCATACTGGTCCTCCTTCTGTATCTCTCAAACCCACTGCCATTCATTTGATCCTAATTCTTGCCACCCTATACATTTCCAAGTGGAGAGATTAAGATAGAAATAGTAGTACAGTTTACATACAGTAAATCTTCATGAAATGTTTTGTGTTAATGTATTATTCAAAATTACTTCTCATATCATTATACAACTGATTATATTCAGTCCTCAAGTAACTTTTGTCCTTTATTTGGGAGAGCCTGAACATGCTAGATTATTCTTGTCCAAATATTTGAGAGATTATCTTCTAACATCCAGTAGTTGGAAGCAAGTGAAGTGATCCACATCCTAATTCAGACAGTGTATTCTACTGATGAAATATTGTATTGTCTTGGTATTCATACTAGTTTGAAATTTACTTTTTCCCCCCTCGTTTTCTTTCCAGGTTGGTTTTATGACTGGACCCAGACCTATGACATTGCGTTTTATTTTAGTGGCTTCTGCGTCCTGCTGGGAGGTTTCATTCTGCTATTGGCAGCCCTGCCTCCCTGGGATACATGCACCAAGCAGCTCCCCAAGCCAGCTCCAACTGCTTATTTGTACAAAGTTGCCTCCAATGTTTAGAAGAATATTGAAATATTTGCCATTTTAGGCCATGAACATATTTTTAACAAGTTCTTAGGCAAATTCTAAGAGTCAAGACTATTTTCTCATGGCAGTATTTCACTGTGGCTGACGGAATGGGTTGTTTTTTTTAACATTATTCTCTTCATGTACTGTATATGTAGCATCTATCTCTTGGATTTCCCCCACCCCCCGCCCTTCCTTTCTTGTTTCAAGAAGTGGAACTATTTTGTTATGCTGTTATTCAGTAGTTACTGGAACTATAAACTATTTGGCCAGCCTCAGTAGCCCTCTTCTGTGTGAAGAAGTAAAATTTCTCTGCAGGCGCCATTGATTCCACTGCAGAGCACCACCCAGAAGGGATGTGCCTGTTTCAGAGCTGATGCAATCAGTGTGATGAGATATGTGTGACAGCCACTAGGGACTAAGCCACTGTCTTCTCTGTGGGAGACTAACTAGTAAACAGAAGATGTAAAGCTAACCAGGAAATGAAAGTGGTTACTAAAGCAGCATTAAGAATCACAATGGAACAAACTGAGTGTTCTTTAAAAAAAGGCTTTACACTGCCATCATCAATTTTTATTATAGTCATGTGTCACTTAATATCCATAATATCCTGTGAAAGAGCACATCAAGTGATTAGGACAATGTGTGAATACCAAATCTTAATCTAGTCCTGCCTTTTCCATAAGTGTCTTGAACAGCTCTGTACTTTAGAAGTGGTCCTCAAGGGCCTGCGAGGCTCCTGAGTTTGGTCCTCAATTGATGTCGTTAGCAGTGTCTTCATATCTGATCCAGATACGTCTCACATTTTCCTTAGCCTTGCAACTGGTGGAGGCAATCCTTTTAACAGCGTGAAGAGTAGTTTTTCTATGTTTTTGAGAATCCTGGCAATTGTCAAGTGACGTGTCTAAACTTACTGACCTCCACTACCTTTTCTTTCTTTCACTTCCAAATCAGCACTACTTTGCCTCTCACCGCTGTTCTCATTAGCGCTGGTTCTGTTGCATATGGACGCCGTGATGCACTTCACGGTCATATTTCTGAAAGGAAGGCAAGCAGAAAGTTAACTCCACGACACTCCAGAAGTGGACAGTAGGAGTTGAAGCATACTCAGTTTTATGGTAAACATTTTCGATAGAAAGTACATTACATTACAGTACATGTTTAAGCCAATGACAGGTGTTTATTATGGCTACCAAGATGTGTGTTATATAATGTGTATTTACTGTACCATTACACACTTTGCAGTGCATTCACTTTGTGCACAAGAGACATGAGGTCTGTGGATTGTGTGTAGGAAGTTTCTGCATGGGCGACATCCTTTGATCAAGATTTCTGCACTCTGTTTTATATGATTGGCTGGACTTTATGTATAAGTGACTGTCCATTGACTGAACAGACATTACTCAGTGCACGACTGTATTTTTTTATGTTATTTACTTTGATGAAGCATCCACATACTGTTTGTTACACACCGAACATAAACTGTTTCCATTCTCTATGCTGAGACGCAGGCCTGCTCCTCTCAACAGACTAGTCATCCCTCAAACCTTCCTCATTGCTGGTTTTATAACCGCTAATGGAATCCTGGTGATGCAATGGTTAAGTGCTCAACTGTTGTGAGAAAGGTTACGGCTCTTCCATGAGAGCTTCTGTAAAGATTATATCCTGGGAAAGCTTAGGGGGCAGTTCGGCTTTTTCCTCTGTGGTAACCATGAATCACAATCAACTCAAAGGCAACCTTGCACATTTTTGTGGGTTCTCAAGCCCCTCAGCTGATGTTTCCCAGGAAGCACTGACTTTACCTGTTTCCAAATTGGAAATGCGTATTTCAACCATTCCGTTCCTGCAAATGGCAAACATCCATTTGCTTTGGGCACAGAAGGGAGGGATTGCAAGTTCTTGCAGATCTTCCCGCTGAAGCACTTATTTGTTAATATCCGATTTTACCACTATCAAGTGTTAATTCAAGAGAATTAAGATGTGTGTATCTGTCTGTGTGTGGAGTGTGCTGTGTTTTCAGTCCCTGTGGGACATGGGAAGGAAAAAAGATGGTAAGAACTTGATACACCTTGAACCAACTTCAATTAATCTTAAGAACAGTGTTCAAGGAACAAGAACAATGTTACATTACATTTTTAAAAGAAATGGGTATTAAACTTTGGTATACATCAGGACCCTCTGAAAATCAGAGTGCTTTTAAAGATATAGATGATGGAGTCGCACTTAGAGAAATGGTAATACTGTGGCCCAAAAGTTTATGTTTTTACAAGTTCTTCAAGTCATTGTAATAGCACAGACTGGGATAAGAATGGCTGTTAGGAAACTGGCAATACAGAAGCATTTCTTTTCTGTAAACAAAAGCAATAAACTATTAAATAAGAGGTTTTGTGAAAAGCCAAGTATGGTTCTTTAAATAGGTACTGTGCTAAAATTGGTCATTTCTTTTGAAATATGTAAAATTATTTTATATTTCAATGTTGCCTTTCTTCAAAGGCACTTAAAGCACTTTACAAATGCACATCCTCACAGTACCTCTGTGAGGTAGGTAGATAGCACGTTTCTGCATAGTCAAGAGAACTTTATAACCTTTCTAAGCCTACGCAAAAATGGGGCCACAAGGTTCCCGTCACTTCTGCTCAGTATTCATTCTTCTGTACCTCATACTTGAGTCTCTGTCAAAGAAAGTAAATAAAACAAGTGACATTTAAAAACAACAGCCTGCTTTTGTGTTGAAGGTTCCGTTCTGCCAACATTTTATTCAGGAAGTCTAGCCACCCAGGAAAGTTTAACCTCTATGGCATCTGTCACTTGCTAATTGTTCAACTCTGTCTTCATTCTGACTCCTAATTTAATCCAGTATGTGCAGTATCCATTTTAAGAATGAATTTTAAGTTACAATAAAAGATATATTTTCTTTGTTTTGCATAGTTTGGTTTGTTCTTTCTCCTCTCCATTTTCCATCCAATTAGAGTGGCATTTCATCTGACGTTAAAATTTTCAGTTACCTGCTGTTCAACTCAGACTTCAGAATTTGACAGTTGGACAATGTCATATTCAGGAAGTCAATTTGGTGAAATATCTTCACTGTTACCTTCCAATGAGCTACTGTATTAGTATTCTTAAGAAAAGAGACATGATTCTGCTCAAATGCTTAATAATTATCTCATACAAAATTATCATTTATGGAACTCTAGACATGTTTCAAGCACATTACATCATTTACGTCTTATAATACTCCAAAGATTTTGATATTGCCAGACTCAGAGTGAAAACAACAATTTTCATAAAGTTATGGACAGCACAGAATCCTTGGGTGGTGATGGTGGTTATTGTCAAGTGCTGTTTAGTTGCCTACAACCCATAGCAATCCTAGGTACGGCAGCTCTGAACCTTTCTCTGTCCTGAGCCGGTCTCACTAATTCCGACACACCAACCCACATTTCCCCAGTTACTGTATCAATTCATCTCACCCAGGGTCTTCCTCTCCTGCGCTGTCCATCCACCCTTATGAGCATGATGTCCTTCTCCAAGGACCAGTCTCTCCTGGCCAAGTGCCCAAAGTATGTGAGATGGAGCTTCAAAAGCCTAGCCTCCAAGGAGAAACTTAGTTTCACCCTCTCCAAGACAGATGTATTTGTTTTCTTGGCAGCCCATATTATGTTCAAGATTTCTCCAGCACCACAGCTTGGAGGCAAGGCATCAATTCTGCTGTCATTCTTAGTTATTGGGTAGTACAGATAGTTGATGGCCTTTGCTGCTAACTGAAAGACCAAGGGTTCCAGTCCATTCAGTAGTATCTTAGTAGAAATTCCTGGCAATCTACTTCTAAAAGATCAATTGAAAACCCTATGGAGCACAGCCCTATTCTGTCACATTGTGCCATTACCATGAGTAGCAATCGACTTCACAGCAGCTGGTGGTTTGCTATGTGGTGGCATGGGTTGTTGTTATGTGCCATTGAGTCAACTGTGACTCAGCAAACTTGTGAACAATGGACCTGAGGTGCCCTATCCTGTGCTATCCTCCTCATCTCCAACACGCTTGAGCCTCTTGTTGAGGGTTTTCCTCTCTTTCACACACCATCCACCTTTCCCAGCACGGTGTCCTCCAAGGATTGGCCCTTCTTAACATCATACCCAAAGTATGTACGACAGAGTTTCAAAATCTTTGCCTCCAAGAAACATTCTAGTTTTACTTTCTCCAGGATAGGCCTATTTGTTCTCTTGGCAGTTCATTAATATACCCAATACTCTTTTCCAATACCACAACTCAAGGATTTTGAGGCTGCTTCCGACATCCCTAATCATTGTCCACCTTTCAGGTGCATGACACAATAGAGAAGACCATGGTTTGAATCAGGCCCCCCTTAGTCTTTAAGCTGACTGGCATGGATGTATGTTATAAATGTGTAACTGTAAGAAAAGATCCCCCGTGGCATGAAGTTAAGTGCCCAGCTCCTAACCATTCGATATATCCATAGGAGGAAAGCTTTGTGATCTGCTACCAGAAAAATCACATCCCAGAAAATGCTCTGAGGTAGTTCTGCTCTGTCACATGGATTGCTGTGAATAGGAATTGACTGGACAGCACCAAACAAGACAACATTTTTCAAAGTAAAATTAGAAAGGTTCTAGTAGAACTTTAGCTTTCCAACTTAAGAAATCAAAGTTGGAAGAGTTGTATAAAGTCAATCTAATTGTGACTTTAGAAGTCAAAGTGATACTTATTCATGACTTGCCCTTTTCTCAAGAATTAGCATTTAAAAAAACCTACAAAATAGATTTCACTTGGGACATATTAGCCTTTGGTTATTTGCTAAAGATTCTCCAGGGTTAGAGCCATTATGAGTTAAAGGATATTAAAAAATTACATAAAATGAAATTATACTAATTAATTTTATTAATTAGATATAACCTTTCTTTTATGACTCAAAAGACAGTTCTTGGAATTTGAGGTGCCTTGGTTGAGTTTGAGAAAGGTGTGAACTAGCATGTGTGTTAGAGTCTTCCCCCCTCCCCATGACTCTTAATTGCCAGTTCTTGCCCATGCTTGCTCAATAATCTTTTTATAAGCGATTGGTGATCTAATTTTCTCCAGAATGAGTATGTCATCATAGAGAAAGATTTAGCCACTAACTTCTAAAGGTTCTTTAAGGAACAGTTCCCAAG